TTCCACACCTCCTAATTTCCACCCTACGAATTTTCAGCATAATATTTACACCACACATTGCCCTTAGACACGACATCATCACTGCTTTCAGCCGCATCCTCACTGCAGCATTTACAATCCATGCTTCACACCCATATAAGTGTGTTGGTCCCACAATACTCTTGTACATTCCCTTCTTTGCCTCCATGGATAAAGTTCTTTTTCTCCACAGACACCTCAACACACCACTCACCTTTTTTCCTTCATCAGTTCTATGGTTAACCTCATCCTTTATAAACCCATCTGCTGACAAGTCAACTCCCAAATATCTGAAAACGTTTACTTCTTCCATACTCCCTCTCTCTGATGTGATATCCAATTTTTCTTTATATCATTTGATACCCTCATCACCTTACTCTTATCTATGTTCACTTTCAACTTTCTACCTTTACACACCCTCCCAAACTTGTCGACTAGCCTTTGCAACTTTTCTTTAGAATCCCCCCAATACACAGTATCATCAGCAAAAAGTATAGTCTCCCTCCACATCCGCGAAGGTTAGGAGATCAAGAATCTCGCGAATATTTGGTGCACAAGTATATTGTGGGGAAATATAATAATAGCATTTACTTAGCCTAGCAATACTGCTTCCTTAATCTATTGAACCACGAACTATCATAAAACACATGAAAACATCGTAAAATATTGTACTAGTGCCAGCCCTTTGGTAAAGAAGGTGAGAGACTACAGAATTCAAGAAAGAACTCATAGCAGAGTACCACAGTGGAGGAGGAAGAGCGAGGGGAGAATGTGCCTTCTTCAGTGATTCTACAATATGTACGATAATAAAGTAGCACGAGTTGATAAAGGCTATAGTGCCAGCCAGCGATAAAGTGTAGCAAGTAAGTTAAGTGATTAATCGACAGAAAAAGGACAGCACAAACCTAACTCCTCCAATGCTGTTGGAGTTATACAGGGTGACTGACAACACCACTGCCTCTACCGCATCTGCTGCTGCCTTCACCACCACTATGTATGGCTTATGCTCTCAGTGGCCCTTATACACCCACCAACAACACAGCAACACTTGTGACATACTTAATGACATATTTTATTCATTCTAGGGCCCCACTTATATGGCAGGTTAGGTCCAAGTCTACTACCAGAAAGCAGACTGCACCGGAAAGCAGAACGCCATTTTTTCCACTTATAAATGTATATAAATGCCAGATGACAAGTTTACATTAACATATATTAAGTTAGCAATAGAACTTAGGCATTAAAAAACAATAAAAAGTAAAATACACACAGAGTACACTCATTATTTACCTCAAAATATTCATAGTCTAATGTAGGGCAAAAGGTGAGTGGCATTTACTATAAGAAGTTAGGTGTGGTAGCCCTCCTGGCCACCCCACCCACACATAATATACTACGACGATGCTTAAATAGAGTGATAAAATGCATATGCAGTACATTCATTACTTACCTTAAAATATTTGTAGTCTTAATGTAGGGTGAAAGGTGAAAAGTATTTATTTGTAGAAAGTGATGTGGGAGGTAGGGTAGTGTAGGGAAGCCAGCCTGGCCACCCCACCCACTATGTAAACAAACAGACAATGCATCTGGCTGTGGTTCATAAGCATTCATACAAACACCTTACATTGTGTACAAGTTGTCTCCACAGTGGTACAGTAGAATAAATAAAGACCAACACTTCCATTCTCATGTAATTTTTAGAAGGAATGATGCTTTGACAAATTATTATTATTACAAATTATTATTAAAAATAATTATTTTTTTTTCCAACAAGTCAGCCGTCTCCCACCAAGGCAGGGTGACCCAAAAATAAAATACTTTCATCATCATTCAACACTTTCACCTCACTCACACATAATCACTGTTTTTGCAGAGGTGCCCAGAATGCAACAGTTTAGAAGTTTTTTTTTTTTTTTTTTCAACAAGTCGGCCGTCTCCCACCGAGGCAGGGTGACCCAAATACTCATATAACTCAATATAACTCTCCAAACTGCCAATATCTCAAACCCCCCCCCATTTAGAGTGCAGGCATTGTACTTCCCATTTCCAAGACTCAAGTCCGGTTATATAAAATAACCTGTTTCCCTGAATCCCTTCACTAAATACAGTGGGCCCCCGCATACCGATTTTAATCCGTGCAAGAGGGCTCATTGGTATGCGAAATAATCGGTATGCGAATGAATTTTCCCCATAAGAAATAATGGAAATCAAATTAATCCGTGCAAGACACCCAAAAGTATGAAAAAAAAAATTTTACCACATGAAATATACATTTTCCTACACACAAAGAGAAGGATACATGCACAATAGTAGAGTAGTACATGCACAGTATATATTGTGCATGTACTAGTCTACTAAATGAAGAATAAATGACACTTACCTTTATTGAAGATGCAGCAATGACTGATGAGACACTGTGTCCTGGGAGTGCCTTTTCCTCCTGAGTACTGAAGGTCCTGTTTAGCATTTTCTTCCAGAACAGGCCTTATCACACTGTGTATGTCACTACGATTCTTAAATCTCTCAAACCAACCTTTGCTGGCTTTAAATTCACCAATATGAGCACTAGTTCCAGGCATTTTTCCCTGTTCACCTGGGTGTTAGTCGACTGGTGTGGGTTGCATCCTGGGAGACAAGATTAAGGACCCCAATGGAAATAAGTTAGACAGTCTTCGATGACACTGACTTTTTTGGGTTATCCTGGGTGGCAAATCCTCTGGGGTTAATTGTTTCTTGGTATATTCTCAATAAGCCACACCAACAACAGTGCTACAGCAGCAGCAGACGATGCTACAGCAGCAGCAGACGATGCTACAGCAGCAACAGACGATGCTACAGCAGCAACAGACGATGCTACAGCAGCAGCGGACGATGCTACAGCAGCAACAGATGATGCTACAGCAGCAACAGACGATGCTACAGCAGCAGCAGACGATGCTACAGCAGCAGCAGACAATGCTACAGCAGCAGCAGACGATGCTACAGCAGCAGCAGACGATGCTACAGCAGCAGCAGACGATGCTACAGCAGCAGCAGACGATGCTACAGCAGCAGCAGACGATGGTACAGCAGCAACAGACGATGCTACAGCAGCAACAGACGATGGTACAGCAGCAACAGACGATGCTACAGCAGCAGCAGACGATGCTACAGCAGCAACAGACGATGCTACAGCAGCAACAGACGATGCTACAGCAGCAACAGACGATGCTACAGCAGCAACAGACGATGCTACAGCAGCAACAGATGATGCTACAGCAGCAGCAGACGATGCTACAGCAGCAGCAGACGATGCTACAGCAGCAGCAGACGGTAATACAGCAGCAGCAGCTGACGGTGGTACAGCAGCAGCAGCTGACGGTGGTACAGCAGCAGCTGTACCACCAATAGTAGCGATGGTTGATTGGGGTTCATTATACAACCTGGCCAGCTCGGAGACACACACTCCACTTTCATACTTATCAATGATCTTTTTCTTCATCTCTATTGTAATTCTCACAGTTATTGCTGTAGGGTTGGCACTAGAAGCCTTCTTGGAGCCCATGGTCACTTATTTTCCAGAAAAAATTACCAAAAACACTGTAATAATACGAAATGTTCCGATTGTATGCTTGGATGTTACCGCGGAGGCTGGCTGGTAAACAATGCCACCGGCGGAACATGTGAGCGTGGCTCAGGCCGCACATTGGACGCGTCTCGGACGAAGGGCGGTGAGCGGGTTTTTGGGCGGTATGCGAAGCAAAATTTTTGCGATCAAAGCATCCTGTATGCGGATTGTACGGTATGCGATGCGTACGGTATGCGGGGGTCCACTGTACAGTGGACCCCCGGTTTACGATATTATTTCATTCCAGAAGTATGTTCAGGTGCCAGTACTGACCGAATTTGTTTCAATAAGGAATATTGTGAATTAAGTTAGTCCATTTCAGTCCCCCAAACATACACATACAAATGCACTTACATAAATACACTTATATAATTGGTTACATTGGGAGCTGATCGTAAACCGGGGGTCCACTGTATAGTGGTACCAACACTTTTACATGGGTGTGAGACGGGTTGTAAATACTGCAGCAAGGAAGAGGCTGGAGACAGTGGAGATAGTGCGTCTAAGGGCATGTGTGGTGTAATTATTATGCAGAGAAATTGTAGTGTGGAAAATAAGAGGTGTGGAGTTTTTAAAAGTATTAGTCAGAGGGCTGAAGAGGGGTTGTTGAGGTGGTTTGGTCATTTAGAGAGAATAGAAGAAAGTTGAATGACTTGGAAAGCATATAAATCTGTAGTGGAAGGAAGGCAGGGTAGGGGTTGTCCTCGAAAAGCTTGGAGGGAGGGAATAAAAGCTTTGTGGGTGAGGGGCTTGGACTTCCAGCAAGCGTGCATGAGCATGTTAGATAGGAGTGAACAGAGACGAATGGTTTCTGCGACCTGATGAGCTGTTGGAGTTTGAACAGGGTATATTTTGTGAAGGGATTCAGGAAAACCAGTTAGCAGGACTTGAGTCCTGGAAAGGGGAAGTACAACGCCTGCACTTTAAAGGAGGGGTTTGTTATATCGGCAGTTTGGAGGGACATCTAAACTGTAGTATCTGAGAGTTTCTGCAGTGATTATGTAATAGTGATGGTGAAAGTGGTGAATGATGAAGTTTTTTTCTTTCTCTTTGGGTCACCCTGCCTCAGTGGGAAATGGCTGACGTGTTAAAAAAAAAGAAAACACTACGTGGGGAACTATGACATCAATAAATTTTTTTGTGATCTTAATTGTGCCTGCACCCTAAAGGAAGTGTGAGGTTATAGTTCAGGTCATCTGAACTGTGATGTCAGCCCATTTCTGGTACAATGCCAATGAATGTACATCCTCTTTTTTTTTGGGGGGGGGGGTAAGGGAGATTGGGGGGCATCCCCCTACCTTGGTACAGATGACCAATGTGTAAAAAAAAAGTTAAAAAAGAAAAGATTACATTGTAAAAATAAAATCTGCCTTACCTCATCATCATCAGGTAACAGAACCTCTCCTTTGACTGTATTGCGGTGAGAGATAGGGTTAATCAAAGGATCAAAGTAGAAGGCAGGAAGGTCTGGGTCCTCTGTTTTAATGTAGAGAACAACTGGTGTGTGATACCAGCTGAGATGAACATACTGAGGCATATTATTGAATAGATATGGAAATGCAATGCGGTACTCTGTTCGCACTTGGTGGCGTACAATGATCTTGTTGATGTCATTGAACTCATTCCAGTCCTCATCTGCTGGGTTCATGTCTTTAATCAATGGTTCAAACTTTGGTCCTCCAGGTAAAGCCATATTCAGTGCCTGTAAAGATATTGTACATTAATATTCAAGTTCTTTTGTTGATATCTGCCAGCAGAGATAAAGGCATTGCATAGAAAAGCATGAATGGACATTATGAAATAATTAAATGCTGTAATAACTATTTTATGCTCTGTTTAAACAGAACCACGATTATTATATGACACCCATTTATTATATTATTTTTTATATCAAAGTTACAAACTAACCAGTGAACAGTAAGCAAACTGCAAAATAATTTCAACTGGATCCACACATGTAAGCACCTTGTAAAGAGTAACCCTTTCACTGTCCAGACCCCCCCCCCCCAAAAAAAAAAAAAATATATTACTCTGGGTCCACTTTAAAAAAAAAAAAATGAAATGGTGGAAAATGTTTTCTTGAAGGTAATGATTCTAAAAGTATGAAATCTGATAGAAAACTTACAGAATTTTATCAGCACAAAGTTATCATTCTTGGTGCAATTTACACACTGGTGATTTTTGCCAATGATGATTACTATTTTAAGCCAATTCCATAAATCCAAATGACAAATTCATACCTATTTTACTAGTATGCTTTATAATCTACTGAGTGAGCACAAGAAATCGCCAACTCAACTATTTCAACTACCTTATAAAGTGCACAGAAGTTAGTAATTTAGCCAATTTTACACAAAATTAAAACGGTGCCAATTTAAAAATAAAGTCCAGAATAAAGAATGTCGACATTCCTGGCACTAAAACAACATTTCCTCTGTTCATTAATCACATCCCCAGGCCTTTCCTATATTACAGTTGCCTTCTATTTTGAAGTCAATCACAAAAATAGATTTACTCTATTTCTCAGATAATAAAATATTTCCAGGAATGATTGGTCCCAATAAGTGAATCAGACCTATTAACTCTTTCAGGGCTCAGAGGCCAAATCTCAAGAGTGACAGCCAGGGTCCAAGATTTAAAAAAAAAAAAAAAAAAAAATTCTTATAAAATGGTAGAGAATATTTTTCTGAAGGTAATAAAACAAAAAGTATGAAATTTGATGGAAAATTGACAAAGTTATGCTCTTGCAAATTTTGGTGTCAGTATTTTTATGCACGGGGAAATTTTTGAATCTTTGACTCCCTTTTAGGCCAATTCCCAATTTTTCAGCCCAACAAAATTCTTAGGGATTTCGCTAGTATTATTTTCTATTTTATCGCCTGAGCCAAGAAATGCTGGTCAACTGTTTAAACTCCCCAAAAAAGGGGATCGGAAATTGGAAATTTGGCCCAAATTTTAAAACCCCCAAGTTCAAAAAAATTAAAAATTTTCAAAATAGGATCCAGAATAAAAAATGCAGGCTTTCCCTGGCCTAAAACCCAACATTTCTTTTTCATCAGTTTTGTTTCCAGGGTTTACAAAGGGAAATTCCATTTTTATTTTTCATTCAAAATAATAAATTTTTATTCACAAAAAAATAAAAAGTTTTTACTCTTATGAAATGTTGTAAAAATTTTTTTTATATAAAAAAATATCACCACATTCGTAAAATGAATTTTGACCCACCAGCGATGCGTTTTTCGAAGGGGGGCGTTTCTTTTTACTTTAAACCCATTGGCAAAAAATTTTGAACATTTCTGTACTTTGAGTCGGGTTTTAAAAGCCATTTTCAGTACAAAAACCAATCAAAATCTTTCTTTTTTTTTTTGGGCCCAAGAGTCTTTGGAAAAGAGGGGGAAAGGAAAAAGGGGATGGGTAAGGATAGAAATTTTGGGGAAAAAGGTGGGGGGGGGGGGGGAGTGGGGTTGGATAAAAAAGGTAAGGGGCCCCAAACCCCTTTGGTGAAATTTTAAAAAAGGGTATGTGGAATAAAAAAAAATATTCTTAAAGGGAAAGTATAAATACTAACCCTTTAGGTCCATAGTTATAACGGGGGATATAAAATTTCATGACTGAATTGGTGTTCAGCCCCGCCTTTAAACCAAACCCGGCAATAGTTTTTTCGGCACTAATTCTGGTAGCATAATTTAAAATTTCCGGGGTCCCCAAAGCCCAAAACCCCGCTGGTACTTTTTTGGTGGCGTACTTGTGAAAGTCTTTTCAATTTTTTTTCTCCGTTTATTTTTTTAAACCCTGCTTACTTTTAGCCCTACCCCATTTTTTCCAATAAATTTAAAAAAAAATTTGCTTTTCATTATTTTTAAACCCACCAAAACAGTACATTACCCAAATTAAAAAGATATGGTGGCTTTAAAAGCCACTGTCGGTTGTCATGAGCTCAGTCTCATAAAGCGGGAAAATATGCTTTTTTTTTTTGGGCTAATATAAAACACTCAGCTTTTTTGGGCCTAACACAATTAAATCTAATAAAACATAAGAAACTTTTAAAAATTTAACAAAAAAACTTGTTAAAAGGGAGCAAGGTCCTAGAAAACCCCTTTCCTGTTTTAAAATTTCTAAAAGTAAAAGAAAAGAAACTTTCTTTTTTTCCTTTTTGGGACCCCACCCCGCCTCGGTGGGATAGGGCCCGGTGTGTTAAAAGAAAAAAAACCATGTTTAAATACTCCAGAATAAAAATATTTGGATAACACGGGGCAGTTTGACGGAGGTATGAAGGGGTTATGGTATAAAAAATCCATTCCTATCCCAGTTTTGGGGTTTTTATTGAGAAAACAGAGTGTAGCACAGGGCAAACTGTGTATACACTCTTTTACTGCACAAAAAAACCTGAAATAAAAAAGTTATTTTCTCTATTTGGGATTTTTTACACATAGCAGCATGGGTGTAGGAACCTAGGATAACCCAAAAAATTTAACGTGGCTTATTTTTAGTACCTGGCTCGGGTTAGCCAATATGATTTTTGGAAAAATTTTCGTTCCCAGCCAGGGTGAAACTTTGGGGGTGTGTTTCTTTACAATTGTTGTCTATGTTCGCCCATCAGTAAATAGGTACCTGGGGTGTTCCCAAAACTAGTGTGGGTGTTATCCTGGGACACGACCTAATTTTCTTAAAAATACTCACCCTAAAAAAAAAAGCAGCTTTCTATTAGTAGTTGGGCCTGTTTGTCAGCCGGGCCCTGTTACCTTGTAATGTACGTGTATAAATAAAGAAAATTATTATTACTTTATTTTCTCAGTTATTTTTTGGGGTTTATCTTCATCCCCCCCCCCCAAAAAAAAAGAAATCGCCCAAAAATAGCGGGGGTTCACTTTCAGCCATTAGCGGCCGCTTAGGGGTTTATATTTTTGTAGGGTTTGGGTTTTTTGGTTTTATATTCTTTTTTTTTCGGTTCATTGATAGAAGGGAAAAAATATTACAAAAATTTAGATATGATTTTGATTCCCTTTATGATGAAAAGTACCTTGAAATTGCGCTCACGGGCCCCCCCAAAAATGTTCTTTTCTTTAGGAAGCTCAGGGAGTAAAACAAATGACGTCACCGCCCAAATACCTGTCCCCCTCCCAGCCCAAAATTTCCCAAATAGGGTAGTCTGGGTTGACATTATTTATAAAATTTATTAAAATTTAATGCAGTAGTCTGCAAAACAGTAAATCTTCTTTTTTTTTTGGGGAAAAAAAAATTTTAAAAAAGGAACAGAAAAGGGGTAATATAAGAGGGGCCTGTGCCTTTGGCTAATGAACAGAGAAAATGTTTTTTTAGTGCCGGGAAAGTCTGCATTGTTTTTTTGGGATCCTTTTTTTAAAAAATTGGCATTGTTGAAATTTGTGTGAAAGGGGCCCAAAATTTCCCAATTTCTTAACATTTAAATTGGGTAGTTGAAAAAAGGGTGAATGGGGGATTTTTGTATTAGTTGACAGACAAGAAGTAAATAAGTTTATTCAGGTATACAAAATAAGTTCATAGATTTATCAAAACTTAGCATTTTATGTATACAAAACCCTAGGAAAACCCAGGAAAAGTCAGACAAAGTAAATTAAATTTCCGTACCTGGTTGGGCTTGCTATACATGTATGTAAATTTTTGGAAAATTTTTTTTTTCCCCTCGGTTTTTTGTTGGGTTTATCTCATTGAAACTTGGGAAATGTATGTTTAAAAGGCTTTTAACTTTACAAAAAAAAAAAAAAAAGGCGGACGAAAAAAAGGGGCCCCGTTAAATTTCAGCCATTAGCCCCCTCTTTGCAGAATTTTTTTGGGAGGGTTTTTTTAAGGTTTTTATTTCTTTTTTTAGGGCTCTTTTGATAGAATGGAAGATATATTACGAAATAGAAAATGATTTTAATTGTTTTCATGATAAAAAGTACAGGGGGACCCTCAAATTTTTGTAGTCCCTTTTTTTTTTCCTGTATGCAAACTTACTATTTTTTTTTAACTTTGGGGAAACCCCCCCAAACCCCAAAGGCGGGTGCCCCAAAAAAGAAAAAAAACCCCCAAAAAAAGAAAATACTTTCTTTTATCATTCAACCCCTTTCACCTCACTCACAAAAATTTCCTTTTTTTTGCAGAGGTGCTCAGAACACAACGTTTAGAAGTTTAAAGATAAAGATCCCACAACTTATCACCCAAACTGTAATACCCAAACCCCCTTTTTTTGAGTGCAGGATTTTTATTTCCCCATTTCCAGAATTAAAAGCCCCAGTATATAAAAAAAACCCGGTTTCCCGGGAACCCCCTGCTCACACTCCAACAGATAGTCGGGCCCCCAAAAATCCCCATTCTTTCTCCATTACTCGTACCCGAACCGCTCAGGCCCCGCCTGGGGAAAGGGTCCAAGCCCCTCCCCCAAACAAAACCTCCCTTACCCTTTTCCCTTTCCCAACCTTTTTCCCGAGGACGCCCCCTACCCCCCCTTTCCCTTCCCCTTACAGATTTAAATGTTTTCCCATGTCATTCTACTTTGATCCTTTTCTCTCTAAAGGGACCAAACCCCTCAAAAAACCCCTTTTTGCCCCTGACTATACTTTTTACTAACCCCACACCTTTTTCCTAATGTCCACATTTTTCCAAATTTTTTCTGCAAATATTTAAAACCACACTTTCCCTTCTTAGACAGGAATCTCCACTGCCCCCAAACCCCCCCTCTCG